CCCCCCCCCCCCCCCAAAAAAAAAGAGGCATGATCTCCTAAACAACCCCAAACCCTAAACCCTAAACCCTAAACCCTAAACCCTAAACCCTAAACCCTAAACCCTAAACCCTAAACTAAACAACCCCAAACCCGCTCTCTCTCTGGGGCTGCTACTTGTCTCACATCACTGGACGTGTCCGTGAGGCCACGCTTCACCAAGCATTGGATGCAGACCTTGTAGGGTTTAGGGTTTAGGGTCTCGGGGATGAGGATTTAGGCGGGTTTACGGGCTGTCAAAGCCAAGGCATCCCAAGCAACCCGGGACCTATCCTGCCAGAAGTCTGATGACTGAGGCTGACTCGTTGTGCGCGACTTTCTCCGTGACGCCCAGACGGCTAATAGAAATCGCGGCAGCTTCGCGCACCTTCAAAGCAACGCCCGGACTTCGACCAAGTCCTAAAGCCTCATACCCTATTACGCCCTAATCAGGCCCCAATCCCCTGCACTTATATGACCCAGTTCTAAACCCGAATCTTGTGGTTCCGAGCACTCCGACAACCTTGCCCTGAACCCGACAGTAGAGCCTACGCCAAAGCCCGCCAAACTTTAAAAACTGATGAGTCCCACCGGCGCGTGAGAATCCCTCATGGCATCCGCCAGGTATGGGGCGGCGGTGGCCGCAAAGGTCCTGAGCGACAGAGACGTCCCAAGCACGCAGTTGGGCAGAATACGCTTTAGGGTTTTGGGGCTTAGGGTTGTGGCGTCTAGGGTTAGCGGTTTTGGGGGTTTGGGTTTGTTGAGTTCCGGGTTTATGACGCCACGGCGACGATGATGCAAGCTTTCAGAAACCGCAACAGCATGCATACGGCTGGGTATGAACACAATACCACAGCACTCACATGATTGATCAGTCCTTCTCATAGCATTGCTTGCAGCACAAAGTACAAGAGCAGAATGTGCATTCCGCGAGAGATGGAAGATCTCGCTGGCATCAATGGGACATGATGCTGCAGGCGATCTAGCAAGCAGTTCAAGCTATACGAAAACAAGTGAAATCTAAAGCCGGCACCCGGATCAGCAATCTACAAAGAAAAAAGCCACGATCGGTGGACGTGTCTCTTCCGCCTGCTCTTGCGTAGGAGAAAGAGAGCAATAGTTTCGCCAAGGCGCCCGATCCGTCCCAAAGAAACGGCGGAGCAGCGTCGGACGACGTGATCCGGATCTTTCAGTGTCTGGAGCAGCTTGGGCCTGGGGGTACGCCCCTGAAGGGTTCGTCTACGGATCCTAAACGGTTTAGGGTTTGGGGTTTAGGGTTTAGGGCTTAGGGTTTAGGGTTTAGGGTTTGGGGTTTAGGGTTTAGTAGGGCGTAGACGGTATAGGCTATAGGGCTCAACTGCAGAAAGGGCGACGTGTGAAAGAACACAGGAAGCTTGGCTTGTGATCAGCCTACCACCACTGTGACCGTTCATAGCCGTCGAAAAGAGCCGCGGCCATGGAGCCCAAAAAGCAAGCTGAGGTTGCGACACCGCCGTGGAGGCGCTTTTGCCGCCGATCTGACCTCGGAGGGATTTTGTGCCTGGGCCCTAGAGCCTGGGGTTTGGAAAAATTCTGAGGTCTTGGGGAACTTTTTAAGGAAATTGAGGTCGTCGCCGATGGCCTTTGCTGCGGCGGCTCGAACATGGCTCTGGGCGTCAGCCAGGCAAGTGGCCAGGGCATCGGTGGCCACTGGTGCGCCTTGTCTCACTCATTTCAAGGATTCTGACCGCCACTACTCAACTTGCTGCCGGCTTGCAGAGAGATGCAGGGAGTGAGACATGTTCAATCACCACCACCGGGGGGGAGGCTTGCTTGCAGAGAGTTGCTGTCGATGCGATAATTACTGCCAAGATGCTCAGCATGCCCAGTGCAGCCGCTGCTGCACTTTTCACTTCGGAACCTTGGCATGGGACACTCTGCATCAGCGTCTCGGATCCGATCCGAGTCTTACTCTTCTCCCAGAATGCCGAAACTTCCGAAAAAACTCGTGAACTCTACGACTCCACGAACCTCAAAAGGTCTTGGCCGCTGTTTCTTACTTCAAGCCCCAAACCTCCCAATGCCAAAACCGAGAGCCGCGTGACTCGGATCCTCCAAGGCATCCATGAGCACCTCCAGCACCGCCGTGGTGCTCACACCTCGACTTGAAGGCTTGTGTTTAGGATTTGGAGTTTGCTTAAAGGCGTGTGTTTAGGACTTGGGATTTAGGGTTTATTGTTTCGACTGGTCGCTCCACCGATGCCTCCCACCCGAATGCTCAATACCCCAATCCCAAACCCCAACCCTAAACCAGGCAGCCTCTTCATCAGCAAGTCAGGACTTTTTCGATTGCACTTCGTCAACTCGCGCAATTGTGCGGCGTGCAGATTCAGTTTGCACAGCTGCCTTCCTTGAGAACCTTGAATGTCCAATATGCTGTACAGAGCATTTCGGTAAGACCCAGACGTTCCCTTGACAGCTCCTTTCTGTGTACAGCAAGACGAGTCATGGGAGGGCGCTCTTTGCGAAAGTTCGCTCAGCTCCCTTTTGCTCCCATGCGGTTCTGTTAATGTTTCCACTCCATATGTTGTGCCTAATTTTGTGGCGCTGTGGTTGGCCCATCGCCGTGCCCGCAGACAGGCAAGCGATGGCTGACTTGAGGTAATTCGTAATTGGCATCCTTTTTGTCGTCAAGTGTCTCGCTTCGCGACAGTCCGCATGACCGATTGCATAAACCCTAAACCCTAAACCCTCCCCCCCCCACCCTAAGCCCGAAAACCCCTTAACCGCTAACTCCAACAACCCTAATTCGAGCAGCCGGGTCACCGAGGTATCCCAGCGAAGTCAGTGCCTGAATACAGAAGGCAAAGAACTTCCGAAAGATGCATCATTTAGGGTTTAGGGTTTAGGGTTTAGGGTTTAGGGTTTAGGGTTTAGGGTTTAGGGTTTAGGGTTTAGGGCATCTTTAGGGCGCTTGTTTCGTTGTCGAGGGTTTACATTATGGCCAAAGCAGCAAACCGACAAGTTTTCTCGATAAAAACAGTGACAATCACAACTACTGCTACTACCCTTAGCATTAGCATCACACATAACATTGACTTTATCAACATCGTTATCGCTAGCACTGTCGTTGTCATTATCTTTAGGATCGCCCTTATCTTTATCCATTATCAATACTGCTAAAACGACTAACAATACAAAACACAAACCAAAAACAACAACAATAGTAAAAACAGTAAAAAGGCGTTGTACTTGTGATCATGATGGTGATACTTGTAATACGGATCGGAGATGCTTTAAGTGTTGAGGGCTTACTCCTTATAGGACAAGCGGCGGCAACCCGCACACGCTCCACCGTGTCCAAGGAGGCTTGGAGTAAGGCTGGCAGGGCCTTGGCTCCGAAACTCCCCTCAAGCGGCTTTTTTGGTGGGTTTAGGGCTTATAGGGTTCGGGTTTTAGGGCCAAGAAGCAAGCAATGAACTGGCTGACAGCTGTGCGACTGTCACGTACTGCACTGTGTCTTAGGCGCTGTTGGGCCCCTGGGTGAACGAGCCGGCACTTCCCCTGCCGTGCCTCGGCTGCTGCGCGCCCCAACTGGCCAAGTGCCGTTGCGACCTTGGCAGTTTAGGGTTTAGGGTTTAGCCTTGGTAGTTCCAGCATCCGATGGAGGCTTGCTCCGATGCTTTGGAGCTCTCTCTGGAATTTGAGGCAGATACCGCAGCACGTACCTCTTCTTCACGATCGCGGAGGCTCACGATCAGGGACGGCACAGCCGTGCCGGCATGTTCCCCAAGCCTCCCATGCAAGTTCAACTACCTGGGCAATCTAGAACACATAAACAATCATATACCATCATGTTCTATGCCTCTCTAGAGAACGAGCAGCAGCTCGTCGAATCATGCCTCGGCGAAGGGCGCTGCAAAACTCAACCGAGACATGGCAAGCCCGAAAGGCCCTGAAACGAAGATGCCAAAGGTCTGTCACTGTCGGTGAGGCAGGTTGTCAGTGCAGGCACCGCGCTCACGACCTGGCTGCAGGACTCAGAGCGCTGCAAGCTTCGGCATCCCGAGTGTTGCCCTAGATCTTTGAACAACAAATGCTTCAAGCCTCCAACGAATACTGGGCCCTGCACCACATGCATCCCCTCCCGGTGGCGCCGGTACCGGGATCCGTCTGGTAGAGCTTCGACCTCGAAAATCGAGCAAAGCAAGACTCTCCGTGCTTTTCTGAATTTGCTATCCGGACAACAAAAGGATTCGGGGTTACGGTCTCAGGTTTGGAATTTGAGTTTAGGGCAGTTTAGGGTTTAGGGCTCAGGGTTTAGGGAGTACTGGCAGCGCTGTGCACTTGTGGTTTTTTGGGCTGCTTGGCTGCTTACACAGATGAGATGACTGTTACAATCACAGCATGTTCACAAAATGCCTCAATTCGACTGCTAATCAAGAACTTTTGCTGCCTCAACTCTCTTCTGCGATGTGCAAGTGAGCTTATTTGGGTGGTTGTCAAAATTATGGTCTTTTTTGGGGTCCTTATTATAATACGGCACCTATTATTTAGGGTACCCCAAAAAGGGCCATAATTTGGACAACTACCGATTTGTGTACATAGCTCGGACGCAGCCAAATCCACCGAAAAGCCGAGGCATCCTCTGCAGCTCAGGCCATGGCCGTGCTGGTCTGGCCAGCCATGTTCATCAGCGCTTTCGTGGCCTCGGCTGGAGCACATTACTCCCTGTAACCCAAACCCCAAAACCCGAAACATGCAAACCCTGGACCGCAAACCCCGAACTCCCAGCCCTCAACCCCAAAACCCCAAGTACCCAAAAGCCCGGAAGCCCCAAGCCCACAGCCCCAAACCTCCGAAGCCCCAGAAACCCCCGAAACCCCAAGTCACAAACACCCCAAGCCTAAAACCCTAAACCCTAAACCCTAAACCCTAAACCCTAAACCCTAAACCCTACAGCACAGCCAAGCCCAGGCGCGTTGAGCCGAACACGCCTCCGAGGATCCTTAAGAGCCTCGCAGAGCACCGGCACCACATTCTCGGCGTGCCTGGGTTTAGGGTTTAGGGTTTAGGGTTTAGAGTTTAGGGTTTAGGGTTGGCTTCGGGGGTTCAGGGCTTAAGGCTGTAGCTTGGACCTTAGTTTTTTTTGCTGAAGGCCCTTTTGATGTCTGCGGCGACGCGTGTATCAAGCCCACATGGGCAGTTAGACCTTAGTTTAGGATTTAGGGTTCAGTTTAGGGTGTCGGGTTTAGGCTGGTGGCACCTCAGGGCTTTCGAAGGGTTTAGCTTATAAGGCATGTTTAAGGGGGTTGTTCAAAAGGGGTTGAAGGAGGTGTTTAATGTTTGTCAGGGCTGTATAGGACTTTTGTGAGGGTTTGATTAATGGGTTTGTTTACATCGTGATAAGGGGTCTTGAAGGCTCTATGTGCTGCTCCGGACTCCCTGTGTCGCATTTTCCTTGGGCCAGTCCTGGATCCCACCCCTGAAGTCATCATGCTTGGAAGATGAAATCAGCAGAGCTTCGCTTCCATCAGCAGCGACAGCCGATACCTGCCGCATGCGACAGCTGCGTCCCTGGCGCGGCTGGTTACCCCCCCAAACCGGCCTGACAGTCGAGTCCGGATGCTCTTCAGCCAGAATCGCCTGAGCCGAAGGTAGTCAAAGGAGGTGGTGTCCAAAAACTCCCAGAGGAACCCTTTCAAACCCATTTCACGGAAGTCATCACTGAGATAAAGCCCTGTAGGCAGCCAAAAAAGCCGAACTGAGAATCACCTCGCACAAAACCTACGGCTCTGGCTTCGGGGTTCAACCTTCAGTGCCAAACTCCCCGAAGAGCTGAACGACTCGTGAGCCGGAAGCCTCCCCCAATCCCGGTCCAGGCGCTGCGTGAGGGTAAAGGTCGTGCGCCACCGGATCCCCGCTGTCTGCACTTTCCCGGATGCTCCGGCAGAAGGCCGCCTGGCAGAAGGGGCGCATGGCATTTGGGCAGGGACGGCTCCCCCTTCTCCATATCCCAAGAAACCCTGATCGAGGTTTTTCGAAGCCTCAAGACATCTCAAGACACAACACCTCCTAAACCCCTTGTAGAGAAGTCTACAACTGTGCAGATGCACACTGCACACCAGAATGCATCACAGCCCCAAACAGAAGCCCTGGAGTGCGTGCTTTCTCGGCGAGAAAGATGCGAGCGATATGGGTCAACTGCACACTCCAAGTCTCCCAGCTTCTTGCGCCTTAGATCGTCCTTCAGGTCGCTCCTTCGGCTTGGTTTTGCAAGGCCCTAAGCAGCGTCACGGCCTCGCTGACATTGGACTCTGTATAGTCCAAGGAATCCAAGCGATCGATACACCTGCCAACCTGCTTCCAGTACTCTTTGCCCTGCCGAAGTGCCTCTTCGCGACTCCGTGCCAGCTTCACGTCGCTCTGCACCGCTGCATTGAAGACCTGGACCTTCTTGAAGCCCGTCCTCAAGCGCACAATCATGTCGCAAAGAACAACCACGGGATCCAGGCGGGAAATGCGGCGGCAGCAGAAGCTCATGGAGCAGACATACACCGCTGTGAGCACGGTGCCGGCGCATTTGCGGAGGAGGTAAGTTGTGCAGGTGCCCTCCTCGAAGTGCGGACAACCTTTTGCCAGACCGACCACAACCGTGGCTGCATTGTACGTACAGAAGATGGCTGCACAGCACAAGCTCAGCAGCACCTGCTCGTGCAGCCGCGACTGGAGCAAGATCGACCAACAGCCCATGGCCAGCCGGCGTGGGTAAGCGGGCAAGGAAGGAAACATGAAGCCCCGGCCCCAAACGCGTCTGCCACGACAGCCGCCACACCGCAAAAGAGAGGCCAAAGCTCGCGGCAAGAAGTAGCACATATGAGGAATGCAGCAGACCACGTCACAGGCGAAGTCCAAGCTCCCCAATGGCGCAGTGGAGTGGCTAAGTTCGTAGTACAGGAAATTATAGCCGTCGCCCTGAAGCTTCAGAAGAGCGGCCTTGTTCACGCAGTCAAAGCTCCCACGCAAGGGGATCCGGCAGCCTCCTACGTCGATGTAAGGGTTCGGGTCCTCTTGACCATCGGGCTTAAAGGCAGCCACGATGACGATGCCCTTGTCGATCTGCTCCGCGGTAAGCTCGACAGGATTCCTCCGCAGTTCGCGGGACGTCGCGCGAAAGTCCCCAAGTCGTTTCGTCCACGAAGCACAGCAGACATCGGCGAGTTGTTCGGATTGACCAACTATGTCGCCATCGCGGACTGCAAGTAGGCCCTCAGCGCGATCTTGCGGCAAGAATAGGAGCCTGGCAAGCCTCGGGGTGATCTCCTTTGCCTTTACAGGAAAGCTCGGAGAGAAACGCTCCCAGCGCTCGACGCGCGAGACCAGGCGCAGTGCGTCCCTGGCCCGGCTTTGGCAGATCTCCTGGGCCAGGCAGTCCAAGATCGCCTGCAGCTCAAGAATCGCCTGCTCTGCTCGGCCGAGGGCTGAAACCGTCGCTGCCAGGAAACTTGCAAACTCGCCCTGCAGCTCCAGCGTTCGAGACTGTAAGTCGTCATCGTAGTACCAGATCACCTTCAGGCAGACGATGGCCATGGTGAAATAGACGAGCAGGCCCAAGATCTCCATGAAGCAGAGCGGAGCGCCGATCAGCAAAACCCCGAATTTGCCACACTGGCCCTCGGAAAGCCTGTTCAACCACATCGCCGTCCAGGCACAGGAGAAGAGGAAGCAGATGTAGGTGCAAAAATGCACACCGTCACGAGGCCAGTAGAGATCAATCAAGAACTCCCAGCCCTCGCCCACCAGGGATTTCAGGCAGCTCCTGCACCCATGAAAGGAAGATGAGGTCTCTCGCGCCGACCCGAGGAATCCCGTCTCCACATCAGCCATCTCCCTCATGGGCATCGTTCACCATCCTCATCCCCCCTTCGAGCAAGAAACAACGACAGGCAGACGAGGCGCGCCCTTGAAACCTCGAAGGAGTTCGGGCCATGCCATGAACATCCGCACGTGTCGGAATCTGTCGCGCGTTTTTTGGGCAAATATGCGTTTCGCCACAGCGGGAGCGCGTTTTAAGACTTAAAACGAGGCCTGGAAAAAATGCTATTATCAGAGCTAGGTTTTTGAAAACCATGGCAGGCGTGGCACTTTGCGAGATTCGGCGTACCACGATTTTGGGTCTTCTTTTTCGCGTGCTTGAAAGGCCGAAAACACCGCGAACACCGCGCACAGCGAGGTTTTCGTGATGTCAACACTCAAAAGTGTGATTTTGCAGTTGACCCTGAAGTTTGTGTTTTTTTCTTGTACGTCGTTTCGAAGATGCATATGCAATGAATTTTTCAATTGCGGACGTGGAAGCAAAGAGAGTTCAGTGAAAAAGATGTTCTGATCGAAACATGGGGAATTCATATGGATTGAAGCGGATTTTTCAATAAGTTTGCGAAATCTGCATCGGATCAACTTCGTCAGATGTGCCTATCGCAGGGAACTGCATCGAATCAACTTCGTCAGATTTTGGAAGGAGTCAGCCAGGTCCATGGACTCAACATATATGTACGGTAACAGTCACGTTACGTAGGGCTGAGGGGTGGGAGCAGCCGTAGCACGACAAGAGAAGCTGCAGTTTCTATGTCTTCCTTCACGGAGAGCCCAAGCGCCAACTTGCAAAGCTACGACCATGTCGTCATTATCCCCCCCCCCACCCCCCCCCTCCCCAACCCCACGGCAAGTCCGAATCCTTGGAAACGCACAGAAACGCACGACAGTTATCGACCCGTTAGCATGAACATGTTCAACATGCTCTTGCGATTATGAGGCTTCTGACTACGAGCCACTTGCACCCTCTGCTTCTTTAACATTTTGTTTCTCCACGACCAGGAAAGGATCATTGCCATGATAGACTCCATGTCTTTAGTATTTGCACTTGTTAGCCATCTCTGCGAGCCCTAAACCCTAAATCCTAAACCCTTAATTACCCTTAACCCTCAACCCTAAGCCCTAAACCCTCAACCCGAAGCCCGAAACCCTCAACCCTAAACCCTAAACCAAACCCCGAGCCTCACTCCATCTCCGGTATCGGAGGATGAAGGCCGGGTAGACCTGGCACGATCGCTTCGAAGGCCCAGCGGCGAAAAAGCTCGAGGCCGAAAAGCCTGAAACCACCAAGAAAACACCTAAACCCTAAAACGCCTAAACCCGATGCACCCTACACCCAAAAGCGCCTACACCCAAAACCCCCAAACCCTAATCCCTAAACCCTAAACCCTACCTCCCTGAACCCTAAAGTCTCAAGAGACCTGTTGGAAGGACCTCCAGAAACCCAGCCCGGCCTGGTCGGAATCATAGAGGATGAACTCCCGGAAGGTTCCCACCTGCAGCCCGTTACTCATGGCTTAGGGCTTCGGGTCTTTAGGCTTTGGGTTTTGGGAGGTGTTGCCTTTTGAAACCGGACCTTTGCGGCCTTTGGGGTTTAGGAGTTTAGGGTTTAGGTTTGGGGATGTTGAGCTTCTGATTCGGACGTTTCCGGAACTTGGGGGTTTAGGGTGCAGCAGCTTCGTTTTATGCTCTCCGAGCTATCCGATCTTAAAGGGCCTCGCTTCGACACGGCTCGACTCTGCATTCTAGTAGGCCGAGGATGTGACTGCAGCCCAGCGGTCTCCAAGCAGAGAATCGTATCCGCCAGCCTTGCACCTCAGGCAATTCGGATCTCGGCGACGAGCCCTTAGGGTTTAGGGTTTAGGGTTTAGGAACCACATCGATACCACGGCTACCAGAGTTTTTCACCAGATTCTTTGGTGACACTGTCCACCAACGGTTTGCACATAGGCCCCGCGCTGATCCAAGATGTCAGCTGGAGGCTTCTTCTCCTTTGTCAACATGCACATGGGGACACATCCGGTGACAAAGCCATCCTGTCTGCAGAACACCGTCAACTTGAGACGATATATATGCTCCTACTGGCAAAATCGACTGCAAAGAGCATAAACTCCTCCGGAGAACACACTGAAAGGAGCGGGTCCTACTCCGCAAGGAATAAGTGCACCCAGGGGGCCTTGCACGTCATGACCTTGCCCAAAGCTACTCTGCACAAGAGCATCCAGCAATAGCCATCTGCATCCTCCTCGCAGTACTCATCTGCCTGAGGCATGTCTTTCCAAGATGCTGAACCCTACCTTAAGAACCCAAAACCCACGTTTTTGTAGGTGCTAAGAATAAACCCTAATATGGGATTTATAGGGACCCTACAAAAAAGTAGGTTTTGGGTTCTTAAGGTAGACCCTAAAGCAGCGTTTCAATGTATGCGAAACTGCCTTGGTTACGCACTCCGCAAAGTAGATGCCCTTGCCGTAGAGCGTGCCCCTGCCATGGGGGGCGCATTGTTCCGAATAATGGTCAAAGGGCAGTTTGAAGTGCGTCTGTGCCTGTGGCTCCCGGCCTTATCCAGCCGGAACCTCAGGAAGTTCGAGCGGATGGGTTTAGGGTTTAGCGGGGTTTGGGCTTACGGGTTTAGAGGTCTAGGTTGGCGGTGTAGGGGTTTGGGTTTAGGGTAGAGGAGTTTAGCCGGTTTAGCGGTTCAGAAGGTTTAAGGATCCGAGCCACTCCTGATCCGAAATGTGCTGCACCGCTGCTGCAGAAGTGCCGTGGAAGAGCCTCAGGTCTGCTGGATAGATGGATAGGCGGGTAGATGGATAGATGGATATTTGAGCAATAGATAAGTAAACGGCAGATGATAGATAGACAGATACATACATACATCGATAGATAGATGGATGCATAGATGGATAGATGAATAGCTAGATAGATCGATAGACAGCTAGGTATATAGATAGACAGATAGACAGATAGATAGACAGATAGAAAGATAGATAGGTAGATACATGGATAGATGGATAGATGGATGGATGGATGGATGGATGGATGGATGGATTGATGGATGGATGGATGGATGGATGGATGGATGGATGGATGGATAGATAGATGGATAGATGGA